AAGTGACAAGCGCGTAGCTCTACAGAACGTCTATACAGAAAATGTATTATTTTGTTCAGACTATCCAACGATGTAACGATGTTGTATTTCATACACATATAATTCTTGAATGTTTAAATTAATATTCTAATAAATAAATAAGCGTTAATACGAATATACTTTTTAATAATAGACTTCGTGTTCCATTGTTTCAAATATCATTCCAAGGTTAAGTAATGTACAGGTGTACAACAGTGCACTACACTCGCCATTTTAAAAAATTGAAACGCAGAACACAATTAAATGTAAAAACAATTACAATATTTACTAGCTAACGAAAATGGTAGTTTAAAGTAAAACAAATAAATAAATTCAAAAACTTCTTAATTCTCAGCTACACTGTACATGATATTACAACTATAGAAAAACATACTAGAATTATTACTACCTTATATTTTTTTAAATAGTTTACTCAATTGTCAATGAATACACATGATGTGTTTTTTATTTGCTGAATAACACTATAAATAGGTGTCAAAAATAGAAAACATATTATAACTTTTCAAACATTATTCGTATATGCTGTGAATATTATTCATTTATTGTAGAAACATGGTCAAAAACATTAATTATATGTTGGCTATATTTGTTACGTTAAATTCTATAGGCTCTATATATACCGAACGTAAGTACCTACATATTTTTTTTTCTTTACGTAGTACTAGTACAACATTTTTTGGAAATTAAATTACACAGCTATGAATATTTAAGAATATAATACTTGAACTTATATTATTTATCATGTTTTCTTAATAATATCATAACCCAATTCAAGCAATAAATACACCTGTAAGAGTATACATTTCTTTATAATTTATGAAGTTAAAGTATACTTAAATAATCATAATTGTTGATAATTTTATATTTTTAGTAGATATCTATTCAAGCAACTTTATATGCAACCTCATCGTATTTTTAACTTAAAATAATTTTTACCAACTAATATCATTATTTTAGATACAATTATAATAATTATAGGTACCTATCAGTACCTATCGGTACTTACGACAGAACGTTTTAGTGCAGCAGAACTAACTCTCTATTGTTAACCTTATTAACTATAATATTATTTATTTTTATTTTCTTGCATTTTATACATAAAGAATGAGATGTTTTTTTAAAGAACCTTTAAATTTGTTAAATAGAGGTTCCACTTTATTTAAATAAAAATTATTGACTGTAAGTATATATTATTAATTGATAGGTACTGTGTTTTTTTTTTGTTTTAGACACTTTAAATATTACTTCTGAGAATATAAATGATTTAACAGGTAACTCCGATGTTAACATTGCTAGTTGTAGTAATGTAACTATTAAAAAAAAAAAAAAAAAATTAATACTGAATAATATTTTTTCATATACCTATTTAAACATATTTTTATTTAATTTATATCATGTGTTATTGGTTAAAGAACACCATAAGCATCGGTAATAGTTTATAGAGCATTGATTTTTAATTTCGATTTGACTGATCTGGGACTACGTGTTTAGTACGAAAATTTGGATGTTTTAGGGACTGTAATACCCAAAATGCTCATAACTCACATTAATATTTAAAAATCAACAAAAACCTGTAAATTTACCCAGATAAAATTATTATATTTAAATTAGATACTATTGGACATTTAAATTCAATATTAAAATGAACGTCACAAAATTTATATTGATGAACACTTATTTAAAAATGTTAGTACCTAATACGTTTGAAAACGAGTTTGTGGTCCCCTCCTAAATCAACCATATTACAACCTCATCATCTTTATTTGTAATACAGCATATTTAATACTAACCATTAATTAATTTAAATCAAGATAATCAAAGAAAGTGTGTCTGTAAGTATTATATTTTACTTTACAACATACAACACTAATGTCTATTCGTGTATATAAAAACAGTGAGTTCTGTTTAACTATAATGTGATCGCTTTCCTAATTATTATTTAAATGTATAAAAGTAAGTTGGAATGGTACTTATATTGTATGCAAAATACAAGTACCTATGATAAATAGATTATGTATCTCTAATTTTAAAATTTTAATTAGATTGTTTTAAATCATTTATCGAGTATCTTCCACTCTGTAATTTTCCATTATTTTATAAACATATATAAATTACCTATTGACATACATTAATTTATAGATTGTAATTAATAATAATGCTTCTTTAAAACAATTTTAAAAAAAACTATTACACTCATTTAATTTGATAGTTGAATCAATAATAAAAATTAAATACGTAATAAATGTTAAATTTAAAAGAGAGTGGTCTTGAATAAGATTTTAAGTGTTCTTCATTGATTTGCCTTTGTGGTCTCTATATTTTTTAGGACAGGTGAGCCTTTGTTTTTCCATGTCGCCTTTCATGGTGTATGGTTGGCTAGTTCATAATGAACCAAGTTTGATTTCTTGTTATATAATCTATGGTAATAGAGGGTAGAGTAGCTAAAAAATAATATGTATTAGCAGCTGTGAGCTGGGTTTGTAGAAGTCTATTTATCTCAAATTATAGGGTCCTCACATTCAGGACAGCAATTAGTAATTTTACCATAAAAAACCTATTTCCAACTGTAATTACACCAATAAGCAATGATATATTATCAAAAGGTATCAATTTATATTACTCTATAAATACAAATTATTAATATCAAACTCAGAAAGTATGGTTGAAGTTGTAGATAAAACAGGTTTAAGATGTGCTGTCTCTTAGCAGGTTGCATGAGATATTCTCTTTATGTATATGTTAAAAATGTTATAAACATTCGTTGTTATTTAAATCATCTTATTATCATTATTTATTGCAGTCGAAATGATACGTCAACGATTTATAGATCTGATCGATTCCAGTAAGTATTTAGTTTTAGATCTTTTTATATTAAAACTATTTTTGATACTATGTCATTCATTGTTTAAACTTAATACTCTTATAACAAACTGCATATTTTGTGAAGTTATCCAAAGTATAAAAATGATTCATAATATTATATCGATTGAAAATCAACGATTTCAGCAGAATCCAAAGAATACATCTTGAATTTATTGGCTAATAACAGGGCCCTAATTTAATGTAACTAGCCCAACACAACGATTGAGTGATTTATATATATCTGATATATCGACTTCTAGCGTCTTCTAGTGTTGGATTAGGTTAATTTTTTTTGCCAACATAGTTTACCTTCTAAGGTACCTAAATAGTAATATAAACAATACACATAGACCTATAATTTTAGGTACCATACTTTAATCCCCCTCAAATTTGCCATCACATGTATTCCTTACAATGTACTGAAATATTGAGAATTGTGCAATAACTCAACTATTATCATTCAGAGTATGTCGATAGAGAAAATTGGGTATCCAGATATTATACATTCAGTAAGTATACATTAATTATTTATAGTATTGTATTTTAATATTTAATAATATACACTATATGAACCGGATGATAAAATATTTAACATACCAAAATATAAGTAATTGGTGGCATCGAGTGAAAACAACTATTAATTGTTAATTGTTAATTGTTTAAGACTAAAAAAAATATTGAAATAAAACTACCCCAATCTCATAAATCGTATTAACTATAAGGAAAAGCTTATCTCTCACACACTCTTTTCGTTTAAAAATACATTTAATTTAATTTAATGTTTCATTAAGATAATTTCAATATATTATAATTATTGTTAGCTAACAATTGAAGAGCAAAGGGGTTGGTTCCAGTTGGTGAAACCAAACTGACTTTTAGCACTTTTTTTTATCAGTCTGGAACCACATATTGAGGGATTGGAAAATTATCTTTTTGTTAATAGTCCAAACCCTCCATATAATACATTTTTATTATATGCGTTGGTATGCTTTGATATTAAAAAAAAAAAACATTTTTTGTGATTAACAATACATTGATTAAACAACTCGTTTAAATATATATGTATAACTCATTATAAGGAAAAGGCTTAAGTGGTTTCATCAAATTTTTTAACGTACCTATAATTATACTCATTTATTAAAATCGTAGATTCTATAACATTTATAATCTTATAAGATAGATTATAATACGGGCTTTAGGAGTGGGGAGGCGACCATCTCCAACTAACCAATCTTCAAAAAAAGTGAGTGGTTTTTGTCCCTATGTTTTGCATATATTTTGTGCAAAATAGTATACATAATATGCACACAGTCTACGGTACGCGACTGCTCAAATAAGGAGTAGCGTATACTCTACAGATTACTCAGGGGCTTAACTCTTCGGGTTGGGATAAACGTTTTGTTAAACTGAAAGCATGGAAGAGGGTTCTAGCCTCTAATATTAGGATAAGTCTTGAATAAGATTTTAACTGTCCTTCGGAGATTCACTTTTGTGGTCTCTATATTTTTTCGGTGAGCAGTTGTTGTTCCTGGTCGTATTTCATAGTTTCTTGTTGGCCAGTTCACTGGTTGGTTGAATACCAAGTTTGATTAGTTGTTATACAATATACGATAATTTAAGGTAAGGTAGATGGAGGATTAATGTGTATTACCAGAGGTGGACTGGGCTTGTAAAAGTCTATTGATTTCCAATTATAAAAGGCCTCACAATCAGGAATATTCAGTGGAGCAATTAGTATTTTTACAATAAAAAAAACATATTTTCAACTGTAATCACACCAATAGTCATCATTAGCAAAGGGTATCAATTTATAGTATTCTATAATATTACAAATTATTATTATAACAAATTCAGAAAGTACAGTTGAAGAAAATAAAGATTTAAGATGTGCTATCCCTTACCAGGCTGTCTGCTATATTCTCCTTAGATAGACCACACGATGTCTGCCAAAATATTTTTGAGAACATTAATGAATTTGTTATTTTTTGTTAAATTTTGCTAATTAAGATCCGAAAAAAACTAATAACATGACCCAATAGTGTATCACGATACACATCCAGATTATACTTTTGACACACATGTATCGTAAAAAAATACAAATAAGTTTGACTCATATATGTGTTACGTATACATTATTATTTATTGCAAGTATCATGACATGGCAACAAAGTGCAAGGGAATATCTAGTTTATTTATAATACCTATGTCAGTTGGAAATTTTAAAATATATAAAATACTCGTTGTTATTTGAACTTTATATTATCAATATTCATTACAGAAAACATGGATGATGAACAATTAAAAAAGACGATCCGTGATGGCAAGTATTTAATTTAGATCTTTGTATGCTAAAACAATTTTTGATAGTATGTCATTCATAGCTTATACTCAATACTCTTGTGATATACTACATATTTTGTGCAGTAAAATATAAAAACGATACATAAAATTACTTAGTAGTTAAGGAGCAGAAGGGTTAGTTCCAGTATGCATCCTGCAGGTATTCATTCTCAGAGTAAATCACTCCCTTGAGCAGATATTGCTGTTCAACCGTAAGGCGTTGCAGTTTCGAGATCAATTAATAAGGTGATTGATGTTCATTGTATGTCTACTTGCCTTCAATTTTTTTTTCTTCGAATACAAAGAATTTATGTGCCTGGTTTGTAAATAAAATAGTTGAAGAATTGTCATTTGATTATTATTTGCATTGTTAGAACGCCTTATTATTTCATTTTATTTTTGTGCATTAAATGCTTATTTTTTCATAATTTTATAGTTTATAAATTCAAATTTAAACTATATGCTGTTTGTATGTAATCACATGAAAACAGCTAAAATGATTTGGTTCTTTTTTTAAAAAAGCTTTTAATTGTAAGGTACATTCAGAAAACAAAGTGAAAATTTTTCCCAAAGCCTCACACGAGGATTGTTGATGAAAATCGAAAAATGTTTTGTGTATCAATTTTTGTCATTGGTTCACTCGGGAATATGTGATAAAAGTATGCATCAAATCGTCCAAATTCCCCCAAAAGAGAAATTATATTTTAAAATGAACATGATAGTTTAATGTAACTTTATTATAAACACAAAAACTACTTGTATGATATTGAGAAAATTTAAAATTGTTCTTAGAGATATCAGGAGAAGTTTATAATTTTTGTGCTATTTCTATCTACCACATTCAAATTGTTCATCTGGGCTTTATTAGTTCATAAAGCAAAGTCCACCGACGACGAATTGCCCGTGATCTGAGGAACACCAAAACCAAGAACACCTGTATAGTAATATTATATACTTTTTAGCTGAAAAAGTATGTTAGTTTAACCGAAGTTAATAGACTCAAAAACCACAATAGTTTCCTTTGGACCCTTGGGAGGTTATTTATAGCTTAATTTTTCGACCCCTATATGTTGCTTAAGATTAGCTTAGACATGACTATTTTTTCAGCTCACGAAAGCAGATTATAACTATTATTGTTTAAAATATTGTTTTTTTAATAAAATAAATGTCTAAATCGTAAAGCGTTTATAATTCTTGTGTATTTATTATTATAATATGCATCTAAATAAAAAATGTTTTGCTTATAAAGTTATAATAAATACCTACCCGAACCTAATGCCTATTATTTCAGGTTATGTGATCCAATATTTAAAGAGCTACAAAATTAATGAAAAAGGTAATATTTATTAAACTAGTTACCAATTTACAATGCATAAATCTGACATAATATCATATAATATTAAATTAAAATACGAACTATAAGTACCAATAATTGATTTTATAGTTATATTTAATCGAAAAAAAATGTATTTAAATGAAGTATTTTTATTTTTATTTCATAGGTGAAACTTTGATAATTTTACCCGTAAGATTTTGCCTCAAAGTTCAATGAGTTAAATTTAAAGTATACACTTACCATAATACTGTTATGTACTTTTATTTATGATGGTTAAATGTAAGTAAATTCGTACTTTATTAGATAAAATGATTTTATATTGTTCTATGTAATATATATTTAATATTTATAATATATTTATTTATAATAAAGTAATAACATCGTTTTATTTGATAAAGCATAATTTTTCCACATTGTGTTATTATAATTAATAACACCTCATTATCATTAAAGCTTTTTTTTAATACGTGCACATTTCATTAATATATTTAGTGTTCCTTTAATTTTCACAATTCGTGGATCAATAAAACTACATTTTATATGATCGAGTGTTACTGCTGGGTAGCTATATTTTTCTCAAGCAAGCAACGTCAATATATTTATGTGCATATTCTTAGAGTAAAAATATTACGAATTGTATATATTTCAATAAATGTTAAAAAAAAAACATTTTATATCAGTTAATTTTCTATAGAAACAACTATTTTTATTAAATTTTTTTTTCGTTACAATAAGACATTCCTAGCTTTAATAGGCTACTACAATCTACAGATATTTACAGAATAAGTAATTATTGACAATTTTAACAAGGTCATATTAATTAATAATGTAACAATAGTAATTGTGTGAGGGGCAAACTGCAGGTTAGAGCAGCCGAAAGTTTGACGACGTATTTGTGTCTTCAGGAATTGACCGCTCACATTCGTTCGCTGGAGTGCGGCTAAATGCCCTGGCGATGTACTGGCTCGATAGTAGACTTGTAGACTGTGTGTTTCCGAACTCGATGATTTGGCACACCACGAACACCAAGACCGGACACTTTTAACACCTTTCCCGTCATAGGATATTCATTGAATTTTTCTGGCGTCACTTCTAAACTAATTGTCGTCACATACAGCTTGTCCAACCGAGAACCACCGAACGTGACCGACGAAACTATTTCCGAGGGTATATTCAGCTTACCTAGCAACTTTGCGCTAGTGCCACTCACGTGCAGTGGCGGATAGGTTCACCGGGAATTAGGGATTTTCCAGGTAGGCCCTATCCTGTGTTGACGTATGGGGGCCCTATAGGATCATTTATCAAGTACTGAACCTTGCGTGATGAGAATTGAAAATAATTTTAATAAATATGCAAATTGACTAATTTAATATTTTTAACCACTCTACAAAAAAATTCCATTATCATCTAGGATCTAGCTATAAGCAATATTTATTAAAAACTAATATGATATTAGTGTTTAAGCTGGACGTTAGAACGCTTTCCAGCCACATTCCCGCATTTATCTTACTTAACAGACTATCTTTCTCACTTCTTTATCTTTCATTATTTTTAAGTTCACCCAGATCAATTAATCAACAATAATTTTCGGCAACAATAACACTGTCATAATACATTTACACATTACTATAATCCTATTTTAAAGTCTATCGAAACAGGATATATTTTTAACCGTGCATTATACAAGTTGTATTAACTTTCATTACAAGTGCGAAAATGAAAAATAATAAATTAAAAGGACGCTACAACAACACTAGATAGTAGAACGTATTCAAATTTACATCGTTCGAGTGAGTCAAGTATTGACAGTTATATATTGTTATACATATATTATACACTATATTATATGGCAAGCCACAAGCAAATCGAGCAGTAAAATTTGATAGTAATCTTATAATAATATCGATAAATGTTTAAAAATGATGACCGCCGACTGCGTATTATTATTATTACACATTATCAGTCGTTCACTTTGGTCTTCGTTGTACCATTAAGGTAGAAGGTGTATCATAACATTATAACGATTGTTCGGATACTTGCGTTGGCTGCAGCGTAAATAATTTCATATTTTTTATAACAAATTTAGTGTTAACCGTAAAATAGTTAACCGAGGAGAAAGAACCATGAATGCAACTATTAAGAAATCAAATTTTCACCCAAGAAATGCGTATGTATTTTATCAATACGAACATATTATAATATTAAAATTAATTATGTTTCAAAAACATAAAAAAAGGGTAAGTGGATGTCGCTCTGCTGTACCTACATTAGGTGTCTAGAAGGTCGCTGTAATGTAATGTATTATATTTGTATTCAATGATATAATATCAATAAATCATCATTGTATATGAAAAACGATTCTGAGCCGAGACGGTCGGTATGTGAGTCTACGATTTTTATATATATTGTAATTTTTTAATATTAATATGTTAGCCGAGAAGTTGAATTAATATTATTCTTAAATTATCAGAGATGCTGGAAAAATATTAAATATTCTTATGCAAAATTGAGCTATTATACTGTTACCTTATTGTACAGCGTATGGCGTATTCAACGTATTAATTTAACAATACCTATTTTTTTTTTTTATCAATTTATATTTTAATTAAAATATCAGTTAGAAGTTGCTTTTCATATTACTAAAAACCGTGATTACTTTTTTATCACAAAAAATACTGATGTGCTGTAACAACTAACAAAATCTACAGTGGGTATTGTGCTTGAATTTTCGTTAATTTTGAATGAGTAATGTTAATTAATATCTGAGGTGTTAAGCATGAAAGGAATAAGGTTAACAGTGAACCGAGATTTTCAAAAAGTCAGCTGACGCTGTGCGATTAATAACATGATGGCACCGTACTCGCTGGCTAGTAATAAACAAATACGTATTTAAGTTAAATAATCGGCGACGGTCTAGGACAAAATTCGAAATCTGCTCACTTGCGATTTATTATTCCAACTACCCATATCCGCACCTAATACCTGCAATAATATGGCTGAATCTGAATCATATAACATAGAAACGGCTGTTTGCCTCGAAACTACAATAAAAGACATCATTGAAAAGATCATAAATGAAATAGAATACGAAAATAT